TTCTTTACTGGAAGAAGATATACTACACACACACACACACACACACACACACACACAGAGTGAGACAGAGAAAGTGGCAGAGAGAGAGAGAATATATTTTAAAATTAGAAAATATCGAAGATGGCAGGCCTGCTTATTACAAGTTTACATTGAAAATCTCTCCCAGAAATTCTTATTGATCCTACAAATCCTATTACCTTGTTTCTGGTATATATGCAGCAAAGAGGATGGCCATATGATTAAGATTCTGGAGCAAAAATTTTAAAACTACTGAATGTTACTATAATCAAGTCTTCACAGGATTTAACTGAAATTTAAAAAAAATCTGGCAGAAACTCAAAAGGAAATAGTACTCACACTGAACCTCTTTGTAAAGTTTCCTGTAGTTTAGATTCACACTGTGCTATTAATAAGTACAATGCTATTAAGAAATACTATGATTTGTTTCTTTATTTATGATCTATTTTTCTTCTCTGGAAGGTTTTAGAATCTCCTTTTAATTTTTGTTCTGAAATTCTATAGTGAAGTACATAGTTCATTATACTGGATGCTTAATAGGCTTTTAAATATAGAAACTCCAGTCCTTCGGTGCTTGTATTATTTCTTTGAAGATTTCTTCTTTTCATTGTTCTCCCTGCATTTACTGGAGTGAATGATCTCCCAACTTTCTTATCCTTTCATTTCTTTTTTCTGGATTCCTTTGGTCTGTTTAGCTTACTTTTACCTTTCTTTCATATTGGGGCTTTCCACAAATACTTGTTGATCTTTGGCTGTGTCTGTTTCAATGAGAGAAACTGAAATACTGATTGTAAATCTATAAAGGGTGAGGGGAATGCAACAGAGATCAGAAACTGGTTGAATTCTCTGTTGGGTTATAAGGAAATAAATTAACCTTTGTATTATGGAATGCCCCAGTATCATATCTCAAATTGTTACTTTTGAGGAAGTTCAATTCTCTGCTTAAGTGGCTTAGTGGAATGCCAGACATATAAAAAAATTACACTTAAATATGATGAAGTGCTATTAGAGATGTATATTAATTTCTTGTGGCACCTGTAACAAATTACCGTAAACTGAGTGGCCTAAACAGAAATTTATTTTGTGACAATTAGGAGAAATTTGAAGTCCAAAACCAAGATGTCAGCTGGGCTGCATACCTTGTAGAAGCACTCACAGATTCTCCACGCTCCTTCCAGCTTGTGATGACTGGCAGTATTCCTCAGCTTCCTTAGCTTATGGCTACATCACTCCTTTGCCTCTCTCATCTCTATATCTCAAATATTCCTCTATTTTTCTCTTATAACAAGGCTACTTATCATTAAATTTAGCATGACTTGGATTATCCAGGATGATCTACCTCATCTCAACGTACTTAAATTGATTACATATGCAAGGATTCTTTCCCAAAAAATGTTAATATCTAATCTTTTACCATATAAAGTAATACACATGAGTTCTAGGTGTTAGGAAGTAGACCTGTTTTGAGGGCCATCATTCAACCCACTACAGGATATGTAAGAAGGGCTTCCATTTACATAAAAGGGGAAATTCAGGAGAAGGTTCACAGAGAACGCCTAATTTAGTGGCTTTCCTACCTCTTAACAAACACTGTAAATCAACTTTTCATCACTTAATGTTTAACCTGAAGTGGCCCAGGTTTATTTTCTTTTTTAAAAAATTTACTTATTTTATTTATCAGATTTATTTTTCAACACAGAACCAGCTCTAAAGACCATCAAATGAGAATTAGCTTGTCCATACTGCAAATCATTTATCTGACACAAAGAATCTAGTGGCCATGCTTCTTTAATATTCCTTATGTTAAAATGGGTGAATGGAAGTACCTAAAGAACCTGAGATAGTTCACCACTATTACTCCTAATGAATAGTCTTGATGGTTCTGCTGTTTATCTTACCTACTCTAACATAACAAACTAGAAATCATAGTCAGCAATATGACAAGAACATATCTGAAGTCTAACAGGTTCTCAATTAATGCCCGAACAACAAATATAGCTAAAATAATCTTATAACAGAGAATGACTTTAAAAAAAAAATAGTGCAACTGGAAAGTTTAGAAATTCTCTCAAAGAGAGACTGAGTCATTGGGTTTCACAAAAACCTTTTACCTAAACAACTACACAAACCTTGGTTACAAGTAGCTTTTGAGAAACTTTGTCTTTTTCCGAAATTCTGATCTTTTCTGTATTCTTGGGTATTAGTAGGTATGTAAATTTCTGAATCAATTTTTTCTTTTTTTTCCTCACAATTTCTTACAATGTTTTCATCTTCAATGATAATATTAGGCAATTCTTCATCTGAAACAAATATTTTAGAGTATCAGTGTTGTAGCTCTCCTTAATGGTTATATAACCTAAAAAAGAAAATTTAAACATTTTTAGAAATGTGTTTCAAATTGTACTATTTAAGAGAATGGAAACTTTTAAAATGTTTTTATATAACAAAGTTTGCTGGTTGCAATGCAAAGCTGAAATAAACATGGCTAACAATTTCCTACTGTGAAAATATTGTAAGGTTTCCTAATATTAAATAAGTGCTATGTTAAAAAGAATTATAAAATTAATAGATATCCTATTTGCTAGCTTCTATACATTATCAGTTGAGCAGCCATTTTTATAATAAGTGATTTTCAAAGTAAATATTATTACTTAACTACTAACTAGGCTTAGTGGAATCCTAAATCATGACCCACATGGTCTCATTGCTGTCAGTTTGGGCATTGGCTAACTGGGATTCAGTTGAAAATTTATATAAAAATAAATTTAAATAATAAAATTTATAGGAAAGATACAGATTGAGCAATACTAAGAATACCTGGTTTGTGAGAAATTTCCTTCTCTTGCTGATTAAATTCTGAGATGTTAGTCAATTCTTTATTCATATTCTTAGTAGAACAAAAATTTTTATTAGGTATCAGCTCATTCTCTGGAAGGTATTCATTATTTTTTTCAACATTAATTATTTCTATTTTTTGAGAATGAACAACAGTGGGGAAAAGCCTCGGTTTTTGGCCTTTGTCACTGGAATTCCTTTCAGTTTCTTCTTTCAGTTCCACATACACTTTTTCCATAATATGTGTATCTATTTGATTCACTAAAGGAGTTGATTCTCTGGGGCTATTATCTTGGGGCTTTTTTAATTTCTCCACATGACTAGTCAACTTTGACACTTCATGTGTTGACACTGTTCTTGTACATGCCAGAGAAGTTTGCTCACGATTGCCAAATGAGTGGTCAAAAGAAGTTCCATATATGCATTGTTCATAATTGGCAACATGTTGTTCAGAAATTACAGCCTTATCTGAATTAGAAATATTAACAGCTTCCTGTTGCGGAAATGTGGTTAGGCTGCTTTCTTTTAATTCACTTTCCTGTAAAAAATGGTCTTCAGAAGGTAAAAGCTGTTGAAAATCCCTTTCTTCTCTATTTCTTAAATTTTCTTGATAGTAGTTTTTGCATTCTGTAGAACATGTCACCATTTCAGATGTTATAGCTGTCTCGGCGATACAGAAATCACCATTATAATTATAGGAATGTTCCTTTACAAAGGACAGGAAAGAATTCTCCCATTTATTAAAGGTCTTAACTTTTTTACCAGAGTTACTATTCTTATGAGATATATAAGGACTACACTGTTGTTCTTGGTAAACATGAGGCTGATCTGTAGAAACAAGTGGTAACTTGACTTCTTTATGTAATGAAGGTGTAGAGAAAGAACCAGATTCAGTTTGGCCAATGTATTCTAACCCAAAGAACTGCATTTCTTGACCCTCTGATAAATCGAGATGGCGGGTATGTGCCTCTTTGGAAACTGAACAAATCGCGACACTGTTAACTAATCCATCTTTCAGGCTTGACAGAGTTGGGCTGGAGGGCTCATGTGACTCTTCTGAAAGGTCATCAAGGGTTTGGAGAATATGCTGCTGACAAGTAACCAATGTGTTTATTCTCTTGGAAGAAGAGATAGCTATTGCCTGTCTTGAAGTGCAGTCTCCATCATTTGCTTGAGTCCTTTTATCTTGTGTGTTCTTTCTTCCTTTACCTTCAGACACATTTGTACTAGTATCTTTGATATTACAGAGATTGCCCTTTTTGAGTCCTGTAGCGTATGTTTGGTAAAGAGTTGATTGCTTATGCTTGGATTTACCAAATCTTGTGATTTTGGAATTTTGGGGGTAACATTCATATATATCTTCATTTATAAAGAAACCCTCTTTGCTTCTTTTATTGACTTCTACATGTTCTGGCTTCTGCCTGTTGGAATTTTCATTACAAACAAACCCAGTGCGATTTTTAGGACTGAATTTTGTTTTCTATAGAGACAAAATATATAATTAGCTTTAATTTTCAGGTATAGATCCACAATTATTATTGCATCCAATTTTATCATATTCTCCAACGCAGGGCCTGCTGGAGTATATACAAACTGACATTTCAAAGAAGGAGACTAAATAGAAGAAAGAAAAATACAATGGAATTAGATTCAGTCTCTGTATTAATCTTTATCTTTTACTGTACATATTAATTCCTTTTTGCTAGCATTTTAGCACCACTAATATGTAATACTAAATATATAATAAAACATTGTAAGTTATTTGATTTTTTTTTTTTTTTTGGTACCAGGGATTGAACTCAGGACCTTGCGCTTGCGAGGCAGGTGACAGAACCACTGAGCTAAATCTCCGGCCCCAGCTACTTGATTTCTATAGTCTTTAAAACTAAATCAGACCAAAGTTTCCTTTAAAAGGAAGCTTTATAAGAAGGCTTTGTAGGGCTGGGGATTTAGCTCAGTGGTTCCACCACCTGCCTCGCAAGCACAAGGTTCTGAGTTCGATCCCTGGTACCAAAAAAAAAAAAATCTTAAAAATGCTTTGGAAGTATTTTCCTCTACCAATTGTTAGATAGCTAGAATTAGGAGAGTTTCTTCCTCTGTTATCCAGGAGAACTACAGGTAGAAAAATGAAAAAGGAATTTAATAAGTACAGGACAGATATACTCCTAAATCGATGTGTATGGAAAATTTATTGTGGGCTGCTAAGATTACAGTAACACTGCTTCCTATCACTTGTCACAGACAAAGAGTAACCACCCACCATGTAAAGTTTGAAAGGATGGAATGATATCTTTTATTCTTATACTGTGCTTACACCAGAGGAAATTTGATATGGTCAATAAACCTCAAGCTCGATGAAGAAAAAGAGAAAGGAAATGACTACCAATACATTAGTGAGCCCAGATATGCTACATTTACTCAGTGGCATCTCAAATAAACAGCCTAGAACCCTCTCATTCTCATGTAATTATTCTATGGTGTCTTAAAACCACAGGGAAAAATCACTGCTCCTGGCTAGTGCTTCAAAAGCCTTTCTTTTTGTCTGATAATCTACAAATAGCTAGTAGTTCCATCCTATAAAAATATTTATTACTAAACATAGATATACCTTGTGCTGGTGTACATCCTCTACATCTCTTGTGTCAATCCTTTTCCTTTGATCTATAAACAAAAAGAGAAAATAGCTTCTAGTGCTCAGATTCTAGACATCTAAAGCTCCCAAGGTTTGCCACGAGAAAAACCAAGAGGAACAGGTAAAATTATGCATCATTATATTAAAATTGGTACAATATCATTCTTATATTTCACATTTATTAGGAACCAAATGCTATGTTGATGCATAGTAACATTTCTATAGGAAAAGCAAATAGATCCAACAAAATAACTAATACTAAAAGATGAGCACTGAACTCAGTACTTTTTATTTTCTCCATGTGTATATCCAGGTAAGCTTTTTGCATTCAGTAGATTATGCAACCTTTTCTTATAAGACAAAAAAAAATTTTATTTTTGGTACCGGGGATCAAACTCAGGGCCTTGTGCTTGCGAGGCAGGCAGCGAAACCACTGAGCTAAATCCTCAGTCAACAAAAAATTTTTTCAATCAATTATATTATCATCTTTTTCTAATATGTCTGATTAATAATATAGTAGTTTGGTTGTTGCATTTTCTGCAAAGTAAAACATATCTGCATGGAAAAGGCAATCACATTATGAATGTATAGGGGGACAATGGTGTTTTTTTTTTAAAAAGCTAATGATAGGGAAAAGTTCTAGATAACTCGATACACTGAATATTAAGGTAGTTGTAGAAGCAAAATAAGTAATGTATTCCTTTAAGATTTGTTTTTCCTGTAACTCTTGTTGTATAAGGTGAGGGTTATCTGACTCTTTAACTAGTAACTTCATTATAGATAACATTTTAACTTAATAAAGTTACAATGCCTGGGTAAATTTACAATGTATATGTGCTTATCTTGTGTCTGTGTCTTGTAAATAGGAACTGGAACTGTATTTACACATCAAAGACCACTAGGGATGAGATAATGACTAACAAAGGTATAAAATAGGGGACCAAAGGAGAACCAGGGCAGACACTGACCAGATCAGTTTCTGGCGGTCCCACCTGCTTGCAAGTAAAACTTTCATTATTTTACCCAAATTCTGTATCTCTGTGTATTTTCTTTCCACGATTTCCAGAACACTTAGGTTGGTAATAAAAAAATGTTTTTAGTAAGTCTTTCATTGCATCCTTTAAATACTGAAAGTGGAAATTATAATTACCTATATATCCATTTAGCCATGAAAAAAAAGCCTAGCAACAATGTTTGCACATAGAAAGCACTCAGTGACTAGTTGATAGATGAATGAATAAATGAATATCTTAGATGTGATACACAAAAAATAAAAAATATCCTTGATTTTATTATATATTAGAGGTTTAAAATACTTTAACAAGGATATAATTGGGAGCGATTTAACTTATTTCTTGGAAATAATTTTCACAATAGCAATAAAATTATTATTTGCATCATTTACTTCATTGAGGTGAGGAAAGGCACAGAATGTCATTTTATCAAACAAAGGGGATTAGAAGTACATTCTTTGAAGCCTCATTCCTGACTTTTAATGTTGACTCATCTGCTTACCAGCTGGCTGACCTTGGACAAATTTTTAAATGTCTGTGCCTCTATAAAATATCCATAAATGAATGCTAATAATAGTTCCTGGCTTCTATAAATGCTAAGATTAAACAACAAAATCCATGTAATGAGTTTAGAGGAGTTTCTGGCAAAGAGAAAATACTCCATTATTACTACTGTAGTTATTAAGAGCATATGGCACACTGCTTTTTCTAAAATTTGGCACTTAAAGAGCAAAAAGTACTATTTTCCAGAAAGTACTATTTTCCTGCCAGGCATAGTTCTTAAGAGAATATGTAGTGCTCGCTTCGGCAGCACATATACTAAAATTGGAACGATACAGAGAAGATTAGTATGGCCCCTGAGCAAGGATGACACGCAAATTCGTGAAGCGTTCCATATTTAAAAAAAAAAAAAGAATATGGAAAGAAGATGATTTTATTTCCTCTCAGTTTTAAGACTCCATTTTCTAGTAAAACCAACTGACTGATATACATTATGAGATGGTGAGCTCTGGGAAACAGCTGTATTTCTTCCTCTCTCACTCTGAGCTCCTGTCATGTGCCGGGTACTGTGCTGAGGTATATATATATAAATAAATTCCAGTCCTCACAGTTACAGCCCCACAGATGTGGACTTAAATGAGTAGATACAAAAATCCCAAATTTATAGATGACAAAATTGAGGATGTTAATTTACCCAAGGCTGTAAATCTGTAAGAATAATCCCCCATCTAACACCAAAGTAGATATATTTTAATCTAAGAGAGAAAGCAGCAAGTATATTTTATATGAAGAAAGTTTCTTATTCATAATTCTTATCCCTAAAGCTCTTCAGGACTAGGGGTGTAGCTCAGTGGCAGAATGCTGCTTAGCATATACAAGGCCCTGGTTTCTATCCCTAACACCTCAGAAAAAGGAAAGAGGTGCTTCAACAAAAATTTTAAAATGAATATGATGTATTAATCTTTAAGTAAAATAAAAAATCCACTTATATTCAAAAGTAGGCTTATAATTAAATATAGAACTGAATGTTTAAACTTCATAAATATTTAAACAATCTAGTAAAGCATAATAATGCAACTCAGCTTAGTAAATTCTCTCACGTAGGAAAAGTGGGATCTAAGTCCTCATGAGAAATGTTTGGGGCACGCCCTACCGAGGTCCCGAGTTGTGCGGAAGATGCCGAATCACCCCTTTGCAGACAGGCAGCCACCCGGTTCCACACTACAAAGGCGCAGAGGACACCAGGCCAACAGAACACGGTACTGAGTTCCACTGCTCCCAGCCCAGAGGTAGGGGCTTCTGAGCCGCTGTCCCACTACACCTGGTCCAGAGGAAGGGGCTTCCCGGCCACCATCCCTCCCGCTGCTCCCAGCCCAGAGGAAAGGGCTTTTGGGTCACCTTCTATCCCACTGCTCCTGGCCCAGAGGAAGGAG